TCTACCCATGCATGAGCATGGGATGTGTTTCCCTTTATTTGTGTTGTCTATGATTTCTTTCAGCAGTGTTTTGTAGTTTTCCTTGTAGAGGTCGTTCACCTCCTTGGTTAGGTATACTACTAAGTATTTTGTTTTATTTTACTTTATTTTATTTTATTTTGTTTGCAGCTATGGTAAAAGGGGTTGAGTTATTGATTTGATTCTCTGCTTAGTCTATTTTGGTGTATAGAAAAGCTACTGATTTGTGTATATTAATTTTGTGTCTGGATACTTTGCTGAATTCTTTCATCAGTTCTAGCTTTCTGGAGGAGTCTCTAGAGTTTTATAGGTAAACAATTATATCATCAGCAAACAGTGACAATTTGTCTTCCTCTTTGCTGATTTGGATGCCTTTTATTTCTTTCTCTTGTCTGATTGCTCTAGCTAGGACTTTCAGTACGACGTTGAAGAGGAGTGGTGACAGTGGGCATCTTTGTCTTGTTTCAGTTCTCAGAAGGAATTCTTTCAACTTTCCCCCATGCAGTATTATGTTGGCTGTGGATTTGTTACACATGGTTTTTATTACATTGAGGTATGTCCCTTATATGCCAATTTTGCTGAAAGTTTTAATCATAAAGTGATGTTGGGTTTTGTCAAGTGCTTTTTCTGCATCTATTGAGATGATCATGTGATTTTTGTTTTTAATTCTGTTTATGTGGTGTATCACATGCATTGACTTGTGTATGTTAAATTATTCCTGCATCCCTGGTTTGAAACTCACTTAATTATGGTGGATTATCTTTTTGAAATGTTGTTGGATTTGGTTAGCTAGTATTGTGTTAATGATTTTAACATCTATGTTCATCAGGGATATTGGTCTGTAGTTTTCTTTTTTTGGTTATGTCCTTTCCTTGTTTTGGTATTAGGGTGATATAGGCTTCATATTAATAGAATGATTTAGGGAGGATTCCCTCTTTCTGTATCTTGTGGAATAGTGTCAATAGATAGTACCAATTCTTCTTTGAATGCCCGATGTAATTCAGCTGTGAATCCAACAGGTCCTAGACTTTTTTGTTGTTGTTGGCAATTTTTTAGAAAATCACCATTTCAATCTTGCTGCTTGTTATTGGTCTGTTCAGACTTTCTATTTCTTCCTGGTTGAATCTTGGAGGGTTGTATATTTCCAGGAATGTATCCATCTCCTCTAAGTTTTCTAGTTTATGCATTTAAAGGTGTTCATAGTAGCCTTGCATGATCTTTTGTATTTCTGTGGTATCGGTTGTAATATCTCCTGTTTCATTTCCAACTGAGCTTATTGGATCTTTCCTCTTCTTTTCTTGGTTAATCTCACTACTGGTCTGTCAATTTTATTTATATTTTTAAATAAGCAGCTTCTTGTTTCATTTATTTTTTTGTAATTTTTTTTTGTTTCAATTCTATTTAGTTCTGCTCTGATTTTTGTTATTTCTTTTCTTCTGCTGGGGTTGGATTTGGTTTGTTCTTGTTTCTCCAGTTCTTCAAGGTGTAACCTTAGATTGTCTATTTGTGCTCTTTCAGACTTTTTGATGTAGGTATTTAAGGCTATGAACTTTCCTCTTAGCACCACCTTTGCTGTATCTCAGAGGTTTTGATAGGTTGTGTCACTATTATTCAATTCAAAGAATTTTTAAATTTCCATCTTGATTTTATTGTTGACCCAGTGATCATTCAGGAGCAGGTTATTTAATTTCCATGTATTTCCATGGTTTTGAGGGTTCCTTCTGGAGTTGATTTCCAATTTTATTACACTGTGGCCTGAGAGAGTACCTGATATAATTTCAGTTTTCTTAAATATATTGAGACTTGTTTTGTCTCAATTATTATATGGTCTATCTTGGAGAATGTTCAATGCACTGATAAATAGAGTGTATATTCTGCAGTGGTTGGGTAGAATGTTCTGTAAATTTCTGTTAGTCCATTTGTTGTATAGTTCAAATCCACTGTGTCTTTATTGACTTTCTGTCTTGATCACCTGTCTAGTGCTGTCAGTGGCATATTGAAGTCTCCCACTATTACTGTGTTGCTGCCTATCTCATTTCTTAGGTCTAATAGTAGTTGTTTTATAAATTTGGGAGCCCCAGTTTTAGATGCATGTATATATTTAGGATTGTGATATTTTCCTGTTGGACTAGTCCTTTTGTCATTATATAATGCCCCTCTTTGTCTTTTTAATTGCTATTGCTTTAAAGTTTGTTTTGTCTGATATAAGAATAGCTACCCTTGCTTGCTTTTGGTGTCCACCTGCATAGAATATCTTTTTCCACCGCTTTACCTTAAGTTTATGGGAGTCCTTATGCATTAGGTGAGTCTCTTGAAGACAGCGCATACTTAGTTGGTGAATTCTTATCCATTCTGTGATTTTGTGTCTTTTAGCTGTAGCATTTATATCATTCACATTCAATGTTCATTTTGAGATGTGAAGTACTTTTCTTTTCATCATGCTATTTCTTGCCTGAATACTTTGTTTGTTTGTTTTTTTAACTGTTTTTGTTTTATAGGTCCTGTGAGATTTATGTTTATGGAGGTTATATTTTGGTGTATTTTAAGGATTTGTTTCAAGATTTAGAGCTCCTTTTAGCAGTTCTTGTAGTGCTGGCTGGCTTGGTAGTGGCAAATTCTCTCAGAAATTGTTTGTCTGAAAAAGACTGTGTTTCTCCTTCCTTTATGAGGCTTAGTTTAACTAGATACAGAATTCTTGGCTGATTATTGTTTTGTTTAAGGAGGCTGAAGATGGGGCTCCAATCCCTTCTAGCTTATAGGGTTTCTTCTCAGAAACCCCCGTACATATTGGTCTTAAGCCTTTCCCTTGTGAGGGTATTTTCCAGATTCTGTATGCATGCTTTATTATTTTTTGTTCTTTTATCTTTTGTCTCCTCTGACTGTATTTTTAAGTAGCCTGTCCTCAAACTCACTAATTTGTTCTTCTTCTTGATCTATTCTGCTATTAATAAACTCATGCATTCTTCATTATGCCAATTGCATTTTTCAACTCAAGAATTTATGCTTCTTTTTAGTTATTTTGATCTCTTTGTTAAATTTTTCTGATATAATTTTGAATTTCTTCTCTGTGTTATCTTGAATTTCTTTGAGTTTACTCAACACAGCTATTTTGAATTCTCTGTCTGAAAGGTCACATATCTCTGTTTCTCCAGGATTGGTCCCTGGTGCCTTATTTAGTTCACTTGGTGACATCATGTTTTCCTGGATGGTACTGATACTAGTAGATGTTCTTCAGTGTCTGGGCATTGAAGAGTTAGGTATTTATTGCAGTCTTTACTGTCTGGGCTTATTTGTAGCTGTCCAGAATTCTTGGCGAGGCTTTCCAGATATTTGAAAGAACTTGGGTGTTATGACCTAAGGTGTTTCTGCTATAGGGAGCACCCCAAGCCCAGTAACTCTGTATTGCTTGCAGACTCATAGAGGTACCAACTTGATGGTATTGGACAAGATCCGAGAGAATTCTCTGGATTACCAGGCAAAAACTCTTGTTCTCTTTCCTTGCTTTCTCCCAAGCATACAGTCTCTCTCTGTTCCCACCTAAAACTGGGAATGGAGTGACACAAGCACCCCTGTGGCCACCACCACTATGATTGCCCTGAGGCACATGTAAAGACAGCACACTGCTAGGTCTTGCACGGGCCTGCTGTAACCACTCCCTGGCTACTGCCTATGTTCACTCAAGGCCCCACAATCGGCAGGTGGCAAAGCCAGCCAAGAATGGTCAAGGAAAGGAGTTTTAAATGAGGTGGATACAGTAAATCTTGATGACATAGATTATTCAGGCAGAAATATGATGTTTCATCAAGCAGATGGAACTTATCAAGAAGAAAATACATAACTCTGCTTCCTCTACTTCTTTCCAATCTTGGAAATTATAAAGGATTAAATAACTTAATGTTGTGAAATGAGTATGAGGAAGAGAGATGGAAATTTTACCCTTAGTTCTGCCATGAACTAGTGATGTGAACTTGCTTTGCTTATATGTAAAGTGAGGAAATTGAACCAGTTGATTTTTAAATTACTTCTAGTTATAAGACTAATGCTATTTTAATGAAGGGCATCATAATTTTTAGTAATAATTCTCTATACCAGATAATAGTCTATTACATTTCTAGAATGTAAAACTTGGGCCACTTGAGCTGAAATCTTATGATCATGTCCACATAATGGATTTCAATCTCAGCACCTATTTTTTAGTAGTTTAAGAAGATGTTATTAAATCTAAAAGTCTTAGTTTTGTCATTTTGTTATTTTTTAGGTGGTATTTTGTTTCATTTTAGTAATATGGAGTTATTTTTCTTTTTTCTTTTTACCTTTACCAACTGTCAATTTAAAATTTACTAAATTGACTAACCTTTTTGAATAACAGTGAGTCTTTTTTTTTTTTCTTTTTTCTTTTGAAATGGAGTCTTGCTCTGTCACCCATCCTGGAGTGCAGTGGCATGATCTCAACTCACCACCACCTCTGCCTCCTGGGCTCAAGTGATCCTCCCACGTCAGTCTCCTGAGCAGCTGAGGTGCCACCACCATGCCTGGCTAATTTCTGTATTTTTGATAGAGATGGGGTTTCACCATGTTGCCCAGGCTGGCCTTGAGCTCCTGAGCTCAAGCAATCAACCTGCCTCAGCCTCCTAACATGCTGGGATTACAGGCATGAGCCACCACGCCCCACCAAGAGTTTTGATCATTACGTCCATGCTCTACAGGCATGAGCCACCATGCCCCACCAAGAGTTTTGATCATTACGTCCATGCTGTACAGAGCACAAATATGCTCATGCTTTTGTTCTGATGCTCATGTGCCCTTTGTCACTATCTGTATTGCCAGTCTCATGTATGTATGAGAAGGAACAGAGAATGCCTTGCCACAGTGTATGGTTACCCAGCAAATAGACCACTAACACTCAATGTGGATAATAATATTAAAGCAATTAGCTATTTTTTATAATTCTCTATTTCATCTATTTTCTGTTTCTTTTCCAGGATATCCATAAAAATTCATCAGACAGTGTTTTACTACTGAGCTACAAAGGTAGGAAAAATAATTTTTTTTTGGTTTGAAAATATACTTCTTTCATCTGTGTTTCAATAATTTATTCCCCTTGTTAGATATACATAGAATTGATGTTGCTTATTCTGACTAAGTGAAAAGTGTTATTTCTATGTACTGCTCAATTAGAAACATGTAGTGTTTAATTGTCAGTTTGAATTTTCCTTTCATACTATTACAGTTTATATCTTACTCTAGACAGAATTTACTCTTTCTCCTAAATTTTGATATTATCTTCTCCATAATTTCATCATGCCTTGACATTACTATATATAATTTCCATACATCAGGAAGGCAATTCTCTGTGTGTGTGTGTGTGTGTGTGTGTGTGTATGGTTAGAAGTTAGAAACTGAAACTCTTTTTGTCTAGCATCATTTCATATTTTTCTTGCTATTTCAAACCTATAATTTTTAAAGAAACAACTAAAGTAATCATTCATATAATTAGCTGTCAGTGACTTGATATTATAAATGTTAACATGGAGGCATTTAGTTCAGCATTTGCTTTACTTAATAGAGTGCAGAAAATGTGGCCCTTTTCTCAGTTAGGGTATATGTGAAGATAAATTTAGAATTTCTAGACTAGTAAATACTTCTCTGATAATAACTTAATTATAGCTATTTCAAACCAAATTGTTTAATTGTGGTGAATCATATGCAAATTTTTCAGATGTAGGTCAACACCCACGCCCACATTCTAGCACCTCTTTCCTAATTCAAGACAACTTTGCAGTGCCTAAAAGAGCTGAGCAGTACAGATTAGAGACATAAGACCAAAAAAAAAACCAAACCCAACAATGGTAACATAAAAACCAACCAGGAGTCAGAAAGTCTCTGTAATAATGAATAGGCAGGTTGTATTTATTTAAGACTTTGCTTGATTATTTCTTAGGCTTCACATGTTTGTAGATAACAATTTCCTCACTGCTCATGAGATTTGTGGCTGGCAAACTCATGGTGCTTCTAGGATATTAAGTTTTCTCCTCTGTAAAGTACATGCAATAGCATCATTATTGTCTACTCATTAAACTGAAATGAGAATTAAACAAATCAAGGACTGTAAAATGAATGTGTGACTCCTCAAATCCCATATGGGAAGAACATGCTATATTTCTTGATTTGGTTGAGTCAAAGATCACTGATGGCTAGAATGCCTTGTGTAGCTCCAGGTGAGGACAACTGAGATACAGTGCAATTGCAGAAAGTAAATAAACTTTTTATTTTTCAAGCTGTTACATTATAGTTCCAATCTATGCCTTTGTGATGCAGCATTGTATCATTTTCTGATGAATGGCTAAGGTTTTATGATTCTATTTTATCTTTATATATTGTGTGCTGTACTTTCAAATATTTTATTTCCATTTATAGATGTGTTGAAAAATCATAAAGCACATTGCATAAATGTGTTACATTTGTTTTTGCTTATTTATTTATTTATTTGAGACAGAGTCTTGCTCTGTCACCCAGGCTGGAGTGCAGTGACGCAGTCTCGGCTCACTGCTACCTCTGTCTCCCAGGTTTGAGCAATTCTTCTGCCTCAGCCTCACTAGTAACTGGGATTATAGGCGCCTGCCACCATGTCCGGCTAATTGTTGTATTTTTAGTAGAGACGGGGTTTCACCATGTTGGACAAGCTGATCTTGAACTCCTTACCTCTTGATTCGCCTACCTCAGCCTCCCAAAGTGCTGGGATTATAGGCGTGAGCCACCATGCCAAGCCTGTTGTTGCTTATCTTTATGTGATTATTGCTGATGTTTTTGGTATATTGACAGAAAATAGTTTTGGTGCTTGTTGATGAAAGCTACTTTCTGGCTTTAGTGATAATAAAATTATAATTTTGCCTTAATATAAACATATTTTTTATTGTCACTTATGGGAATTTGTTCAAGGATTTGAACTTATATCTGCATATAATTTTTGATTTTTGACATTTTCTAAAAATTAATTATTGAAAAAAGTGGCAATTGTTTATTTTAATTCTCAGAGTGGGTAAAATAAATGGTGTATCCTTTGTGCTTCTTTCAATATGAGTATCTTTGTTGTTTTAATTATTTAAGATAAAAAATAAGGAATTATACTAAACATAGAATGGTATATCCCTCAAAGTTAGCTACTGCAAAAATCTTCGTGTTATTCTTTCAAGGTCTTTATTTATATACAGAAACATCAATATCAATATGAGCATATAATGTTTTCATATCATATGCATGATCCTGTGGAATTTTTTTTTTGTTTTTACCATTTTAATTATGGGCATTCTTCTAAGACTATATATGTTCTCTATTTCTTCCTTTGTAATGTTTGCACATTAGTCAATATTTTGGATATATCATGATTTATTTAATAGGTCCTCCAAGCTTTTGTTTAAAAAATAGAACTTTAAAGTAGGCTAAAAAGAGGCCTCTCTTAATTACATGTTTGGCAGGCATACAAAAGAATAATTCCCACTTGTATATTGAATCAAGAAATTAAGGAGTAAAGAAAAAGTGTTACAGTAAAGAGTCATTGAAAATAGTATTGAATAAGTGTGTATTAGTGGGCAGGGTAAAGAAAAGCTAATAATGTAGATGTTCATGCAAGTGTGTTGTAGGTGTGTAAAATGGAACGGCTACCAATTTCTTCAGAGTTTATTTCAAGTGGCACCTCCTTCCATAGCCACTCAGGGACTTTTCCCTTCATTCCCACTCTCACCAGTTGTCTTACATCTCTATAAAAATTCGGGGAAAAATAGACCTTTTCATATTATGTCCCATGTACAAATTCATTTTGTATGAATCTTTTTTTTTTCCTTCACTAGGCTGTTAACCCCCAGAGGGTAATGACTGTATGTTATTCATCTTTGAACCTAATAGATGCAGAAAAAATATTCATTCAATTAAATTGGAACAAAGTGTAAGAAAAGAAAAGAATTGTCAGAAAAGAAGTGCCAGGCACACTGGCTTACACCTGTAATCCTCGTACTTTGGGAACCACGGGTGCATCACCTGAGGTCAGGAGTTTGAGACCAGCCTGGCCAACATGGTGAAACCCTCTCTCTACTGCAAATACAAAAAATTAGTCAGGATTGGCAGCTCACACCTGTAATACCAGCTACTTGGGAGGCTGAGGCAGGAGAATCACTTGAACCCGGGAGGTGGAGGTTGCAGTAGGTCGAGATCACACCACTGCACTCTAGCCTGGGCATAGAGCAAGACTCCGTTTCAAAAAAAGAAAAGTAATCAAGTAGAACTGTTCAATCTTTCACAGATTTTATAAGATGCCACTGTATGCCTTGCTATTATGTCTGGATTAAATTATAATCAGCTCTCCTGATGGATGAGACACAAGTAATATAAACACATGGGTTTGATATACAATGGAGATTATTTTAAATTGAATTTTAATGATTCTTTGTGGTATTTATGTTCAAAAATCATACCTACAAGTCAAGCATTTCAGAAAAATGTTTACAAATTTATGAAAAAGTTATTTGTGTGGTGCTGAACTTGGATATGTGTTACTGCGTATAAATATGAAAACATTGTGTCAGCTTCAAAGCATTGTGCACATGGAATACATTATTGCTATTGTTAGTACCGTAATAAAATTGCCTCTGTGGATTAAAAATGTAGATGTTTATGTACAAAATAGCAGCAATAAGTAAAAGACGACATTATTTATGTGGATTCTATCAGATTAAAAGTGAGTACTGTTTTCAGTACTTTGTGTATTGCAAATTGCTACTCGTGCCATTTAAATCTCTGATATTGTCTTACCATTTGTTTGAATCATGCTTGAAAGCACCTATTTCCACCTTAGTGTGAATTCACTGGTAAAATAAATTTTAAAAAAACCACAGTGAACAGATGTAACAATTGCAATTTCATTTAAAGAAAAATTAGAAAATAGTGGGAGTAAAATATCCCTTTGAAACAGAATGTAATACCAAGTGAGTTATTTTTCTTACCTCACTTGCAAAAGTCACTAGCTCCAACTCTGACTTCACATGCCTTTTACTGAGCAGGTCAATAAGTCATTGGGAAGAAAGCAAATGTCTTGGTCAGTCTTTTGTAATTTATTATTATTATTTTTAGCCTGTTGCTGAACTTTTAAAACCCAGAGCCTGAAACTTAGTGTTTCAAATGCATATCTTAGCAATGCCTTTAAAAAAATAAAAAAATTAAAAAAAGCTGTGATCTCCTCATTGTTGTCTATTTTGCTAGGGATACAAATGCAAGTACCTCTAGCCCTATGGCATGCAAAAAAATGAGTGTAACAACAAATATCAGATAATAGAAAATGGTGGGTACTGAGGAATGGGTGATCATATTGTTAACATCTGTGCTATAAGGGCTACTTCTAGAATACTAGAATGAATATTCTAGTCAACTATTCTGATAAATTGTGTGTTTCAGTGGCTACGACTTCTGAAGATTTAGGAAGTTGAGTATTGGAATTTTTTGTAAAATATCATGGTTTTGAATGTTGGCTCAAAGCAAGAAAGGAATAAAAGAAGGAAAGGAAGAAGTAAAGGAAGGAAGCAAGGAACAGAAGGAAAGAAGGAAGGAAGGAAGGAAGGAAGGAAGGAAGGAAGGAAGGAAGGAAGGAAGGAAGGAAGGAAAGGGAGGGAGGGAGGGAGGGAGGGAAGGAAA